AGCCTGTGAAGTCCCCAGGCACACTTGTCTGGTGACCAGAGGAGCATGCTAACTAATGGTCCCTCCACCCTCCTGGTGACTAGCAGCAACCCACCACCATCAGTGCAACCCTGACCACCAGGAACCACAATATAAGTCCCCTTCTCTCCATCTAAGCACAACCATCACTCTGCACTACCCACCCACAGATCATTCCCATGCTCCTGGCCACCTAGCTTACCAGCCTCTCCCACTGCCTACTGACCCAGCAAGTAGTGGAAGTATACTCCCACACTTCTGAATTCCAGCTCACCCACCCTGATATATCAAAACAAAACAAAATCAGGATGAAACAAGCAAGTACACAATCAATAAAAACACCTTATTATCTTGCAGCTCTGTTGTGGTGCTTTGGGTTCATTTAGCAGGACTGCAAAGTTGGTTTGAACCACACAGTTGGCAGTTCAAGCTCACCAGCCTCTCCTAGGAAACCCTATACAGGGTCACTATGGGTAGGAACTGACTCAACGGCACATGACAAGTAACAATACCATGGAAACAATAGACAGTAACAAATCATATGAAGAAACAGGATAAGATGCTCAAAGAAATGACCAAGTAAAGAGGCAGAAAACTCACGTGAAAAAAAAATGATAGTGAATTTAAAAACTTATTACAGGTTCCTGAAAGAGATCAAGGAAAATTTTTTAAATTCTAAAATTATTTTTTACAAAACAATTCAAGAGCAAAATGACAAAGCAAACACACTATTAGAAACACACAGAAACAACCAAAAATATGGAATGTTAATAAAATATCAGAAATAGATAGCTAAGTAGAAAAATATAGAAGTAGAGTTTTATCAGTGAATGAAAGAATCCGGGAAATAGAGGACAGATCTCTTGATGTTCATTTGAGGAAATTTTAGAAAAAAGATTGAGGAAAAACAAAGCCTTAGAGTTATATGGACACTATCAAGAGGGATAATTTACTCATAATTGAAATTCCAGAACAAGAGGAACACACAAAAAAAAGCAACAGAGAACTGTGGAAGATCTATAGGCCAAAAACCTGCCTGATTAGCATGAAAGATGAGGCTTTCATCCAAGATCAATGAAGAACATACAGGATAACTCCCAAAAGAATATTAGCCAGATACATCATAATAAAGCTTTCTAAAACCAAAGACAAAGAAAGAATTCTGGGGACAGTTAGTACAAAAGGAAATATCACTTACTAAACTCTGATATCTTCACAGAAACTATACAGGCAAGAAAATAATGGGATATCATCTATGAAAATCCTGAAAGAAAAGAATTGCCAACCAAGAATCATATCACTAGCAAAATTGCCTTTCAAAGTGACAGAACTAAGATATTACCATATAAGCAGAAACTAAGAGAATTTGTAAAAACCAAACTAGCCTCACAAGAAATGCTTCAGTTAAAGAACCAATAACATGAGCTATGAATGCACGACAATATCATCCAGATACCAGTGCTGATGAAAACTTTGCAAAATGGAAAACTTACTACAGGAAACTAGAGGAAATAAGCTGCAAACAATGACAACTTTCAAACAAAGGAAGAATGAGAAATGTAGTTCTAGAATTTGAATATGCAGAGGTAGTATATGAGCAGGAACTGACGGTACTGTAGGAAGAAGTCTAAAGTGCACTAAAGGCATTGGCAAAGAACATGGCTCAGAATTAATGGAATACAAAGTGAAAGCTTTCAACAAACTGATGCAGCACTGGAGGTGCTCACTCATCTATGCCAAGAAATTTGGAAGACAGCTACCTGGCCAATAAATTGGAAGAGATCCATATTTGTGCCCATTCAAAACAGAGATGACCCAACAGAATTTGGAAACCATCAAACAATAATATCACATGGAAGTAAAATTTTGCTAAAGATAATTATAAAAACAGTTGCAACAGTACACTGACAGGGAGCTGCAAGAAATTCATGATAAACTATGGATAACATTGCAAAGGATGGGTATTCCAGAACACTTGATTGTACTCATGAGAAACATTTACAGAGATTAACATGCAATCATTCAAACATAAAAAGGGGATACAGAATAGTTTAAAATCAGGAAAGGTGTGCACCAGGGTTATACTCTTTCGCCATATTTATTCAGTCTGTACAACATGAGTTGGAACTGACTCCACAGCAGTTAACAACAACAATGCAGAGCAAATAATCCAAGAAGCAGGATTACGTGAGTGACATGGCATCAGGATTGGAGGAAAATTTAACAACCTGCAGTCTGCAGATGATACAATCCTACTTGCTGGAAGTAAAGAAAACTTGAAAGATCCATTTTTTCTTGGATCCACAATCAACACTCATGGAAGCAGGAGTCAAAAACCCACATCTTGCATTAGGCAAATCTGCAAAAAAAAAAAAAAAAAAAGCCTGATATCTTGTTTTCAAACACTTTTGAAAACAAGATATCACTTTGAGGGCTAGGGTGTGCTTTACCCAAGCCTTGGTATTTTCAGTTGCCTCGGATGCATACAAAGTTGGACAATGAATAAGGAAGACTAGAGGAGAATCCATGCATTTGAAGTATGGTGTTATAGCAGAATATTGAAGTACCTTGGACTGCCAGAAGAACAAACAAATCTGTGTTGGAAGAAATAAAGCCAGAATGCTCCTTAGAAGTCAGGATGCTGAGACTTCATCTCTCATACTTCACACTTGTTATCAGGAGGGACCAGTGCCTGGAGAAGAACATCATGTTTGGTAAAATTGAAACTCGGTGAAAATGAGGAAGACCTCCAACAAATGAATCGACACAGTGGCAGCCACAGTGTGCTCAAGTGTAACAAGAATTTTGGGGATGGTGCAGTACCGGGCAATGTTTTATTCTGTTGTGAATGGGATCACTATGAGTCCAAACCAATTTGATGGCGTGGCACTGTGGGCTAATGCATCAGACTGCAAAGTCATTTGAACTGCAAGGTTAGTGCTTCAAGCTCACCAGCTGCTCCTTGAAAAACCCTATACAAGAGTCGCTATGGGTCGGAATCGACTCTACAGCACTTAACAACAACAACAGGATCTTTGTAGTGCTGGGACCCTAGATCCAATGGACACCCTCCAATCCTGGCTCTTCTTTTAGGTGGCAGTAGGTCCCTCTTTCTCTGTTCACTTCTCTCTCCATTTATATCTCAAAAGAGATTGGCTCAAGATACTCATAGCAACCCCATACAGGGTTTCCAAGGCTGTAAATCTTTACAGGAACAGAAAGCCTCATCTTTCTCCTGTGGAACTGCTGGTGTTTGCAGGCTGATTTTGTAACACAATAGTCAATAATTATGAGCTTTTGGATTATGTATCTTCTACTTTTTAGAAGATAAGGAGTCCTGGTGTGGCGCTGTAGGATAAGCACTCGACCTCAAGGTCAGTTTGAACAACAAGGCCTATGGTTCAAATTCACCAGCTGCTCCTCAGAAGCCCTATACAGGGTCACTATGAGTTGGAGCCAACTTGATGGGACTTAAGTTAATGTTCTATGTAGTTTTGTTTTTTGTTTTTGTTTTTTTAATGTGGCTTGTTCGTGTGACTGTCTACCTTTTAGTTGTTGTTAAGTGCTGTCAAGTTGGTTCCAACTCATAATGACCTAACAGTAGGTTTCTGAGGAGCAGCTGGTAGGTTAATCAGTGCAGTGATTATCCAAGCACCACACCAGGAGTCCACCTGTTAGTCACAAAGGCACAATATTTTCATTAGATTGTGAGTTTGGGTGAGTCACTTAGGAAAATGTTCCATTTTTACTTCCTGAATGAGTTGCAGAATGAGTGCTGACGAAGCCATTGAGGGGGAAGATTCTATAGCTTTATGGTCCAAGTTCCAAATGAAGTCACTTACAAAAACACCTAAGAGATACTGTGTTTCTAAATCAGCTAAGTCTACATCATGTATTAGTCCTTCTGTCCTTGACCTTCTCACCAACATGGTATCCATAAAAACCAGTTGTTGCTGCATTAACTCTGACTCGTTATGTGTCCGAGGAGACTGTGCTCCATAGAGTTTTCACTGGTTGATTCTTCTGACGTAGATTGCCCAGCCTTTCTTCCAAAGTGTTTCTGGGTGGACTCAAACCTCCATTCTTTCAGTTAGCAGCATTTGTTGTTGTTGTTATTATGTGCCATTGAGTTGGTTCTGATTCATAGCGACCCTGTGCACAACAGTACAAAACACTGCCCAGTCCTGAACCACCTCCACAATTGTTATGCTTGAGCCCATTGCTTCTGCCACTGTGTCAATCCATCTCACTGTATGTCTTCCTACTTTTCCTTGACCCTCCATATTACCAAAGGAGCTATGGTAGAGTAGTGGTTACGAATCGGGCTGCGAACTGCAAGGTCAGCAGTTTGAAACTACCAGCTGTTCCACTGGAGAAAGATGAGGCTTTCTGCTCCCGTAAAGATTTACAGCCTCAGAAACCCTGTACAGGGTCGCTATCAGTATGGATATATTTTTATATGCTTTATTTAGGAATGTGTGTTTAAAAAAGTAATAACTATAAGTAGATTCTCATGCCTGTACTTAAATCACAAGTATCCTTTGATTTTGATGATGGCATCTTTTGAATTTTCTTTCTTATCTCTCCTTTGACCATGCATATCTCACTTTTAAGAAAACTTTGAGAAAAATGTGCATATGGAAATGACCACACTGAATTCTTATAATGAGTTTAACATGGAGAGATTTCACCATGACCTAATGAATGAAATAGTTCTACTTCCTCTAAGGGAAGTATTCATATTTGCATCCATAAGATATTTTTAAGCACTCATTGGATAGGGGCACTGTGCTCACCTCTAAGATTAAAAGAACTATTGAGACCAAGCCCTTGTCTACATACATCTCATAGTCTGAGGGATCATAGTCTTCTTATGGTTTAGACTAAGACATCTTCTCCAGTCTGTCTGTAGTCATAATGACTACTTTTCTAACCTCAATGTAAGAGAAGAATGATGCTAATATTTTTATGATGTGTTTCAGGAACTTGGAAGTGTCTATAGTATACTTGCTGCCATCTTAAATGTTGGAAACATTGAATTTTCTTCTGTGGCGACTGAACACCAGATTGACAAAAGCCACATTTCTCATTATGCAGCTCTGGAGAACTGTAAGTTTTATTACTTTCAAAACTGAGCTCTTTCTAACTTTTCATGTACCATAAGGGTCACATATGGATAATTTCAAGCAATTGTACTCATATAGAAATCTTTAAAAATGCTCATATTCAATTTGCATAATGCAAAGTTTTAAAAGTCCACTGTTTGAAACAGATCTTCATGCCTACAAATTAACTGATTACACTAGAAACCATTTTTAAAGACTAAACTTTTATGACTGCTTTAGGAGCTATTTGCATTTCACTGTAAAAACATAGAAAATATATATAGAATTTAGTAAGTTGATCTGAGTTAAAGTTACTGTCTTGTAGTTTTGGCATTTATATTGTTTTATAAGTAATAATGACCCGTATATATTTTTTCATACTAATGGGCTTTTACATACATTCATCCTAGGTTGAGTAAATTTGCAGACATTTTCTATATAAAAAAAGTGTATCATGGTGGTTGCTGTTGGTGACATCAAGTTGATTACAGAGTAGAAATACTACTCCCTAGGGTTTTCTTGGCTACAATAACAGAAACAGATCATCAGCCCTTTTCTCCCATGTACATCACAGGATGAGTATTTGCCTCAAACCAAGTTTTCCCTTCATAGCAACATTTGATGAATTAGTCTAATAATTTAAGATTTCCCACTATTATCTTCCCATGACCTGATTTATTATTTAGAACATACCCTTTTCTTTCTTTAGTTTTAATATCAGAATATTAAAAAAGTCAAGTCGGTTCCGATTCATAGTAACCCTGTACAGGGTTTCCGAGGAGCAGCTGGTGGGTTTGAACTACCGACTTTGTGGTTTGCAGTCTAGTTCTTACCCTACAGTGCCATACCAGGAGTCCAACATTGGCATATGCTTCCATAATTCCAAACTTGTTACAAATTTCATAAACCTAAGGAATCATGGTATAAGTTTTTATTCAAATATTGTTTTCCTGGCTTACACTTACTCAGGACTAGAATGTAATGTTTTAGGGCAATTTCAGAGGATCAGATGCCAAACCATCACGATTCAGACCTGTCCCCAACATCACTATCATCTCCATCCTCACCATATCTGTAGAACTCACTCGGTAATACAGCAGAACAAATGTCTGAGGTTGGCATACAGTGATTGGCCTGTTCGTGGAAACCGCAAGGTTACCTGTCTG